AAGGAATATTCATGTGTTCAGATCTCAGGAACCTCATGGGCAGACTTTGGGGATCTGTCCCTCTCGTCCTTGCCTTTGTAATGTATTCCCCTAAGTTCTACCTGCTTCCCTAGTTTCTCTAGTTTCTCCTGAAATCTTCCTAGGAAATAAACCTGTCTATATAATACAAGAACTTTCTATCAAGTGAATATGTAATTTTTTCCATTGCAATCGCACCTCGGCTGAGTCTACCAAACTCGACAGCTGCAGGGGTCAGAGTTTTAGTTACTCCTTACTCTCCCCGGGTTCCCTCCTTGAGTTTCCTCAATACCCATTTCCTCCTCTCTCAGCCCCACACCGGCGTTTCTTCATTTTCTCAAGCATCTTGCATCATTAGGAGGTTGATTATTTCTAGGAAGTCAGTGACCTACAGTGAGGGCAAACTGCTACCTCATGGAGAGGGGGCCTTGGCCACATTCACTCTGTGGCCCAAACAGCCAGTTACCATGGGCATCATCACCCAGTCAAAGATCACCACATACTTCTGGAAGGTTTGATTATGCCTGTGCTTCTTAGCAAAACTACTAAGCATAAATACTGATTGTAATTAGTATAGTTACATAAACAATACAAGTAGATCAGTACAGTCATGAACTTTATTTATTAACTAGAGGCCTGGTGCATGAGATTCGTGCACTCAGGGGGGTCCCTCAGCCTGGCCTGCACCCTCTTGAAGTTTGGGAGCCCTCGGGCGATGTCCAACAGTCAGACAGCATTAGCGCTACCGCAGCCGCTGCTGTGCTCGCCACCACCACCGCTGCTGTGCTCACCAGCCGTGAGCCTGGCTTCTGGCTGAGTAGTGCTTCCCCTATGGGAGCACACTGACCACCAGGGGGCAGCTCCTGCATTGTCTGCCCCCTGGTGGTCAGTGCGCATCATAGCGACCGGTTGTTCCGCCATTCGGTCGATTTACATATTTGCCTTTTATTATATAGGATAGCATAATTGTTCTTTATCATTGTTTAATTTGTCCTTGTTTCCCTTTGGGCTTTAATTAGCAGTACAACTTTTAAAGTTTATAATTTATAACAAATATTTCAACTTAAGCAAGCCCTGCTAGTATGTGACAGATGGTTAATGTCAAAAGCCCATGGAGAAGGCTTCTGTCTAGCCCTTGGTTTTTGTTGTTGTTCTTTTGCTTCTTAAGCCAGAGAAATGTTTGACTGTGCTGATAATTTGTACGCATACATCACCATCAACTTTATCGTCCTTCAATTCCCTCATCTCCCCCAGATTTCTCTTCTACTCCTGGCTTAGGAGGGGCCGCGAAACCAGACAGAAGCATGCCTGAATGGCCTGTGTGATAAGCCTCATAAAGTTATTTTTTTCGATTAATGGTTTTCACTGACAATTTTACTGCTCTGCTTTAAGCATCCCCATTCCCTTGGGCATTTGCACATCTGCCTGTGATAAGCCTCATCCAACCCAACAAAATTGGTCCCTCAGAATACAAATAGCCCTATTTTAAAAAGCTCATCTCTCTCTCTCTTTTTTTTGAATATAATAACACTTGAAAATAAATTTAAACAGAAAGTAATAGGGCTTTAAAGTAGAGCTATCAAAGTGATTTACTCATGAGTACCTACCTTTTCTCCTCCCAAATGACATCCATTTTATATTCATTTTCCTTCAGTGTGTATCCTCAGCTGCTTTTTTCCTAATCTTTACTAATAATGTGAACTTTTGATTCCACCCTTATTCCCTTCTACCTTGCACCAAAGACTCAAGTGCTCAAAGGGATCCACTGGGGCCATAGAACCAGTTTGGACAATTGTGCTATGAAATGATAATGTTCACTCGACACAATTACTGACTTTATTAGGTTGTCAAATAGCTATTTTTTTCATTAGGGAGAGAAAAGTTCTGAATTCACTTTTTCTGCAGTTACTTGAAATGCACTGTTATGATCATACTCCACTGGTAGCAGGAAAGTGTACCTTTTTCTTAGGTAAGTGGAACCTTCACTCTATAGAGAAGTGATTTCTGTAGAGAAATTTCTATAGCACCCCCACCAAAGGACTCCAAGCAGAAGGAAAACCGAAATGATAAGAATGTTCCCTTTATATTGTATAGTTCTCAAAGCAGATTCATACACATCAGTTCATCTAGTCTTTTTGTTTTGTTTTAAACAGAGGAGAAAACAAGGGCTCAGAGAGATTAAATGAAGGGCATCTTTAAGGTTACACAGCTTGTCAGTCCCTTCCAGAGACCAGGATTTAAACCACCACTCGATTCTAATTTAAAAAGAACAAATTCAGTTTCACAAACAGGATTAGAGACCCAGCGCTTTTCATTAACATTATGGTGGGGAATTTTTGTTAGTTTGTTTTGTTAATCCTCAGGGAGGAAATTTTTCCATTGATTTTTTTTTTTAGAGAGAGTGAAACATCAATGTGAGAGACACATCAATTGGTTGCCTCCTGCACATACCGAGACCAGGGCTATGGAACCTGCAACCAAGATATGGGCCCTTGACTGAAATCGAACCCGGGACCCTTCAGGCCGTGGGCTGATGCTCTATCCACTGAGCCAAACTGGCTATGGCTTTGGTGGGGAATCTTTGGAAAGCAATACTCACCAGTGACTGTGCTTTTCTTAGCTTAGATCTGTCCCGCGATTTATTTTTCTTATCATGTGACTGTCGGCTGGAATCTGGGGTCGTTTCATGTCTTTTCTTTCTTCTGTAAGTTGGAGAGCATTGGAGAAATGACAAATACTCATTTCAAAACTTTGCCCATTTGATTTTGTTGTTACTATGACTTAAAAGATTATCTTCACTCAACTGGAAGCAAGCCAAATGTCCATCAATAGAGAGTTGGTTAAATAAACTCTACACCCACACAATGAAGTGTTATAAGCTGTAAAAAGGAAGGCAGAATATTTCTGGATACAACTGTGGAGTGATCTCCAGGATATAGTGTCACATGAGAAAAGAAAAAGTGGGTGAAGTGGTACGTATTATATGCTATTATTTACTTCCAAAAACGTGTGTGTGTGTATTTATGTTTTCTCAAATGGAAGGATTACAGCATAGCCTTTTGAAAAACGGTTACCCATAAGTAGGATTCCCATGTGACCCAATCAGGCACAAGGAACAGTATGGAAGGGGAGAAGCAGAAGCTAGACTTCTCCACGTATACTTTGCTTTGTTTTGTTTTTTTTTACTTTGGAACTATCTCAATTTTTCTCAAAACTTTTAAATAAAATGAAGGATGAAAATCCCTAAAATCAAAAACAAAATAAATGATCTTCTCTGTTGAGTTGGTGGCATTAGCACACACAGAATAATTTCTTTATGGGACTTTAACACAGTAATTTGTCTGAATATTCTTTTTTAAAAAATACATTTTTATTGATTTCAAAGAGAGGAGGGGAGAGGGAGAGAGAGATAGAAACATCAATGATGAGAGAGAATCATTGATCAGCTGCCTCCTGCACGCCCCACACTGGGGGTCAAGCCTGCAACCCATGTGCCTTGACCGGAATCAAACCATGACCTCCTGGTTCATGGGTTGATGCTCAACCACTGAGCCACACTGGCTGGGCTGTTTGAATATTCTTAATAGAATATATCCTAAGGACAAAACATCGAAACATGTATGAATGAAAATGTATGGCATTTGGATTTGTCTCAAAAATAACCTGGGGAAAGGGCAGAGTGGTGAGGAATAAATGAAACGAGATTGGTCACGAGTCGAAACCTGTTACTGCTGAGTGATGGTTATAAGGGGTTCTAGTTTCTCTACTTTTGTATATACTTGAACTTCCATTATAAAGTTTTATTTAAAAAGATCAGTTTTGCTGAATATTTCTTGCTGCTTAATGTTCAAAAATTTCCCCTAGCTTTGAGTTGGCCTGTGGATTGAAGGGTCCTAGTTCAATTATGGTCAAGGGCACATGCCTGGTTGAGGGCTCGATCCCCAATGGGGGGTGTGCAGGAGGCAGCCAATCAATGATTCTATCTCTCTTTCCCTCTCCCTTACTCTCTGAAAAAATTTCCTCCAGCTTTTAATTAAGAAATTTCAAACATAAAGAATAGTTGAAAGAATAGTATGATGATTATCCATATATTCTTTCACTAAAGTCAACAATTGATAATATTTTGCTTTATCCCTTTGTATAGATACATATATGAACACACATACATACACACACCATAATACATATGTATATATTTGTCACAGTGTAAGAAAGTAAATTGCAGACACTTCCCCCTAAATACTTCAACACTCATCTCCTAAGATAAAGATATTTGCCTACCTAACCACACTAGTTATCACCATACCTCAGAAAATGAATAGTAATTCCTTAAAATCATTTAATACCCAGTCTATATCAAATTTCCCCAAGAATGCCTATTAAAGTCTTTATTTTTTGAACCAGAATTCCATCTAGATTCAAAATGAATTTGGTTCTTCTGTCTCTTATATTATAGAACATTCTTCCCACCTCCCACCTCTTCCCCCTCCCCACGCCCCCATGACACTGACTCACTCTTTAAAGAGTCCAAGCATCTGGTCTATGTTGGTGAATGGGTCCTATGACTTAGGTATCACTATTATTGCCATTTTACAGATGTGGGAACAGAGGCACAGAGCGGTTAAGGGAGTCCCCCAGGTCACACAGTTAGAAGTATGGGAGCCTGGATTTGCACCCAAGCAGTATGGTTCAAGAGACTGTACATCACCACTATCCTGTGCTGCCTTGGTGTTAATCTGTCGAAATACATTCTAAAAATATGGCAGATGTATGAAAACATTCAAATACTTCAAAATTTGTTTTCTTAATTTTTGTTTATCTTTTGTATGTGCATGTGTGTGTTAACAAGTGAACAGATACATGTGTATACATAGATACAGATCTATATTTTCTTACTTTTCTTTCTATATAGGGGTGGAATATTATACATACTCTTTTGCAATTTGCTTTTTTGATTTAAAAATGTACCCTGGGAATCACTCCTTATCTGTTCATAGAGATCTTCCCCATTCATTTTACAGTTGCCTCATGCTCTACTGTGTGAATGAACCATACATGATTTATCCAACAAACACTCTCTCCTATGTATGGCCATTTAAGTTATTTCCAATATTTTAAAATTACAAACAATGTTGCAGTAAATATCCTTGTGCAGATGTACTTTTAGTGTTTTCAACGTTGATTCCTAGAAGTAGGATTGCTGGGTCAAAATGTAAATACGTATGTATTCTTGCTGGATATTGTCAAGTTTCCTTCCATGGAGTCTGTGCCAATTTATATTTCCACCAGCTATGAGTAAATTCTATCAGCGTTTGCTCACAGCTTCACCAACAGAACATGTTACCAAACTTTAAAGTTTGCCAGATAGTTGAAAAATGATGTGTTTTGTAACTCTGTGTAAAAAATGACCGTGGAAGGATAAACTAGAAACTAATGAGATTTGTTAGTGGGAATGGGGTAGAAAAGATAACAAGGGGGAGCAGAGTGGAAGAGATGGGGGTGGCTCTTTTCTGAGTATACCTTGCGTACACTTCTTGCATATACTTTTATATAGTTTAACTTTAGAACCATGTGACCTACCCACAGTGAAGGAGGTATTAACATACCAACATAACTTTTGAACATAGTATTATGACTATACTAGAGGTCTGGTGCATGCATTCGTGCACATTGAAAGGAAATTAATTAGAATAAATATTTTAATATCACTATTTGTCCTTTCTCTATAATAGCAGTGTCAACCAAATTCACGATTGACAATGACAGATTGAAACACACGTGTGCGATTGGCACCAGCGAGAGCTTTATATATATATAGATAAACTTGCTTAATTAAACCTGCTTTCTGATTTAGCTAAACTTTTTCCAGCCCAGTGAAGCACCCCAACTTCTCTTTCAGGTAATTGTCAGCAACACAGCAGCAAATATCAACATGAAGCAGATTATTATTGTAGATCATGCAGGGAGAACAAAGGGTGAAATATTTAACTCCAGCAGTGTTTGACTATATTCTGCACAGAAAGAAAACCTGAAGTAATTTTCAAGGTCCACCATTTGTTACTTCTTTTCAGTCAGGTCAAGTTTCTAAGCTTTCTAAATCTCCGTTTTCCAGCTAATGAAAAGAAAATAGGATTCTACTGAGTCTCCTATCTACTTACTCCAGGACTTCTGTGAGGATCAAATGAGATGAGGCATGGGAAAACGCTTCACAGACATTTGGTTAAAGTATAAAATGTTTGCACCTGGCTATAAATCAAGTCGTGTTCCTGGGCTGAAGAAACTCCAAGGAGGCTAGTCTCTAGGGTGAGGAAGCTGGGCGTTGCTATGTGACGTCATTACCCGGTGCCCACATCCACCATTTCTGAGCTGAGCTGGGCTGTGGGCTGCATTTTGCATCACGGGGTCTTGGCAGCATTGGCTGTGATTTGGTGGGCTGTCGCTCCGGGGTGGTGGCGCTACCTGTGTCCCACTTGGGGGAAGCCGAGTGTTGCTTTTTTGGCACCAGGTCCGCGGTGCCGTTTCTTTGTAAATGGCCAGTGCAAGTCACGGCAGCTCCTGCATTAAGTGTCTGCCCCCTGTGGCCAGTGCACATCATAGCGACCGGTTGGACGGTCGGAGGGTCACTTAGCATATTAGCCTTTTATATATATACTAGTGCTCAGACTAAAGGCAAAGAGAATCATAAGCAAATATTGAATTCTAGTTTGTAAGTCTGTGGTGTGTTTTTTTGTTAATCTTCACTAGAGGATATTTTTTCTATTGATTTTCATAGAGAGTGAGTCAACCAACCACACATTGAAAACACTATTCAGACTAAAGGCAAAGAGAACCATAAGCAAATATTGAATTCTAGTTTGTACGTCTGTGGTGTGTGTTTTTTGTTAATCCTCACTAGAGGATATTTTTTCTATTGATTTTCAGAGAGAGTGAGTCAACCAACCACACATTGAAAACACTATTTTGCATTCCCAACCACAGATGGAAAGCACTGGTTTCAATCATGGTGGGTTGAATCTATGGATGAAAAAGGCCAACTCTAGTTAAGTTTTTGGGGAATCAAAATTTATATGTGGATTTGAACCACATGGGGGTTGGCGCCCCTTAAGCTGGCATTGTTCAAGGGTGAACTGTACAATGTATAATATACGTGACATATAACCTATATATAGTGAACAATAAATAAATATGATAGCCAGATTTCTTACTGTCAGAGAAGAGAGGTGCAAATATGGAAAAAAGAAAAAGACTAGGATGAACCCTATGGTGCTAGATTAAAATAGAGGTATTAAAATACTAAAAGAAGTTGTAATGTTAAATCATTACAGCTATAAAATACATGCAAATCCTAGCAAACAGGGCAAATTTACCAATAACAGTTTGTTTACTTTTCTATTACTTTTTACTTCTAAGTATGGAAAAGCTTCTTTACTCCTATATTCACTTAAGTTCTATTTTCCTCTTTTCACATGGAAGTGCCAGCCAATTGTTTCTAAAAGCAGACAAGGGAAGAAGGACATGGAGCTTCTCACCCTTGCCAGATCCGCTCGATGGGGTCACAATTGTCCAGGTAATTGAAGCGAATGATATCAGTTGGATGCTTGTCAGAGGATCGCCAGGGTGGGAGTTCTTTCTCCCCTGAGTGGTTCTTCTTTCTTAAAGAGGAAGAAGATCGGAAAGCCGATGACTGAGACTGCTTTTCCTCTGGAGAACTGCCTGTCACTGGTTGAACATCAGCAACCACAAACCCATCTTTCGGAGGTGTCTAGAAGAAGAAAATGAATGACTATTTCTGTTTTTAACATACTGTAATTATAACAACAATAAAAAAAAGAATATCATCACCATCGCCATGATGGTGATGACAATGGTGACAATGATTACAGCAGCCGTCAACCCAGGAGTACTTGATATGTGCCAGGCACTGTCTTGGGAAGCTTTCATACATTATTTTATTTAACCTTCACAATAACTCTAAAAGGTAATTGTTACTTCTCCCATTTAAAGAAGAGGAAACTGAAGATAGGATAAACCAATTAATTGGCCTGCTACTACAGAAGTTTTAAGACACAGGGTCAGAATTTGAATCCAGGACTGTCTTGCTTCAAGACCATACAATGAACCTCTCTACCTGGTACTGCCACCTCCTCTACCACATCATTGTATAGGGTTTCCACAACTGCAATTAATTTATCCATGAAAATGTATAAATTCAGAAAAGTACTCCAGTCCTAATTACCTATAACCCATACAGACAAGTTCAAGTTATATAGGGGTAGTCTCTAGATTTTTATCAATTATTAAAACCTCATCCGCTCCCCCCAAATACTTTTGCTTTAATTTCCAAAATTGAAAGTCTGTTTTTGTGTGTGTGAAATTCCTAAGGTTTTCATGTGGTTGTAGCCTAAGGGAAATGGTATGTTGAGAAGCCATTAAAGGCTTAATTTCTGTTCTTTAAGAGATTAGGGGAGCTTTGCTTGGTGAATTGGTTTGTTTGAATTGCTTGTGAAAATTAAGAAATTCCTCCGTGCCTCCAAGCAGAATCAGTTAGTTTCTTATCCTTGTTTCAACTGCTCTTTGTATATATTTCTATAGCAGGAGAGCACTTAGTACTCATTAATTTGTCTATGTCCTAGGCCACTAGACTAGGCTCCTTGTAAGCATGGTTGGGATCATTGCACTCAAGTACCCAGCACCTAACAGCTTAAAAATATATATATTTATTCATTTAATGAATGATTACAAACTGGTAGATTAAGAAAACATTTTATATTTATATCTCTGATAGCTCATTATTGGTTTACTACTTAAAAGTCTGTGCAGGTCTCGTTTTGAATGGGCATTCATTTCATTTCTCTGAGCTAATACTGCATGAAATCTATCTGCTTTTGCTGGAGGAGGTCTGATTTAATAGTCCTTGGAATAAATAATAAGTGATAATAAAAATCAGTTTCAGGGGGAAAAGATCAGGCATAAATGATAGTAATCACATATAAATAAACATCATTAACTCTGAAAAATATAAAATGCTTGACACTTCAACGTAATAGGTAATAATGAAAACTGTGATGACTCTTCTGAATTAAGTAAACAAAACTTTTGTTCACCTAGGCTTTTTGAGAATTTTTTAAATGAGTTTTTGCTGATTTTATTGTTAAATACTTTTGCCTATACTGAAATGATTAGAAATCTTTTTTATTTTGTAAAGTACATTGATTGATTTTTTTAATGCTTTATAAATTTGCATGCCATCCTTACACAGGGGGCATACATGTCTTCTCTGTATCATTCCAATATATGTGCTGCCAAAACGAGCATGGCTGATTTTTTTAATATTATGCCAACCTTACTCTCCTTGGGTACATCCCATTTGGTCATCATGTATTATAAATTTCTGGATTTTATTTGCTAATATTTTAATTTTTTTAAACACATAGTGTTCATGAGGGATATTGGTCTGAAGGGAGAGGGATAGAGAGTTCAGCCCCCACTGGGGATGTGCCCGCAACCAAGGTACATGCCCTTGACTAGAATCGAACCTGGGACCCTTCAGTCCGCAGGCTGACGCTCTATCCACTGAGCCAAACCAGTTAGGGCATATTTGCTAATATTTTGAAAGGATTTTTATATCTGTGTTCATGAGGGATATTGGTCTGTGGTCTTGTTTTGTTTTCTTGTAAAATCTTTATCTGGTTTTGGTAGAAAGGTAATGAGTTCAGAAGTGTTCCCTCTTCCTCTATTTTGTGAAAGCATTTATGTAGAATTGGTATCTCTTCCTTAAATGTGTGATTGAATTCACCAATAAAGTTATCTGGGTCTGAAGTTTTGTGGAAAGTTTTAAAAGAATTCAATTTTTAAATTGATAAAGATTTGCTCATGTTTTCTATTTCTTATTGAGACTGTTTTGGCAATTTGTGGTTTTCAAGGATTGTCCATTTCATCTAGGTTGTTGAATTTAAGGACATGGAATTGTTCATAATATTCTCTCATTGTCCTTCTAATGTCTGCAGGATCTGTAGTGATGCCTCCCTCTTTCATCCCCGCTACTAGTAATTTATATGTTCTCTCTTTTTTCCCTTTAGCAGGCTAGCCAGAAATTTATCAATTTTATTTATGTTTTCAAACAAGCAACTTAGGTTTCATTGATAGAAAATAGATTTTTCTCTATTGTTTATCTGTTTTCAATGTCATTGATCTCAGCTCTTTATTATTTCTTCCTTCTATCTACTTTGGGTTTAACTTATTCTTCTTTTTCTAGATGAAGTATTATTGAAATTATGTTTCTTGGAGCAAATATTGTAGCTTTGCAGACAGTTATAAAGATCATTCTAGCCCAGTTGTCACATTTTAAGGTTGGGGAAACTATTCTTAACCACCACCATCTGCTTTTAAAATGTTTTCATGCCAGGGACAAAGTATTGGAGGGAAGGGAGATGGTGTTGGTGACTGAGGGAAGGTAAGTTATGCTCTACTCTAGCGACTGCCTGCGTGCACCATCACTGGAACAGCCTCAGAGGGGATTACACAAATTATTCAAGTGTGGTGCTGACAGTTGACTTTAAAACCATAGTCAGATGACTTTATTAACATTAGTCAGACGCTTTATAAACTTAGTCTTTCTGACTAAGAAATATAATTATTAGTTGATTTTATTAACCTCTGTCTTTCTAATTTAGGTTTATTTCTTTACCGGAAAAACTCAAGTTTAATATAACAAAGTACTCCCTACAGACATTTAATGCTAGGCAAAGAGGTGGACATTTTCTTGCATTAGAACTAGTCATTATTTTAAATAGAGTTATACAGAAATATCCTGTAGAAAACAAAGCATTGAAGTTAGTTTTATATATAATGTTCAAAACCTCCTTTTGCCCTAACTGGTTTGGCTCAGTGGATAGAGCGTCGGCCTGCAGACGGAAGGGTCCCGGGTTTGATTCCGGTCAAGGGCATGTGCCTTGGTTGTGGGCACATCCCCAGTAGGGGGTGTGCAGGAGGCAGCTTATCAATGTTTCTCTCTCATTGATGTTTCTGATTCTCTATCCCTCTCCCTTCCCCTCTGTAAAAAAATCAATAAAATATATTTTTTTAAAATAAACCTCCTTTCATGCTACAAATTGGCTAGTCACTTTTCTCTCCTCTGCCCCAGAATAGCCCAAGCTTCAGCTACTGAGTGCCATTCTCTGCCTACAATGAGAATGAGAGTTGAGAAAAACCCTAGGAGAAAAGATATCATAGCTATGGTAATTTTGAAAATAACTTTTCCATCACTGCAGTTTAAAACATTTTTTTAAAAGAAATCCTCATGGAGCACACCGATTACTGAAATTAGAAAGACTAGTTTTATCATTGCAATTGTGATAATATTAATTATGCATAGTTTATTACTATATTAAATGTAAATGTAGCTTACGTTCATAAAACTAACCTAAATGAGCAATTTAGAAGTTGACTATTCATATTTCAAAAGGACTCTTCAATTTTAAAAGGATTCACTGCAGCTTTTTCATAGAATATGATACCCCTGTGGTTTTAAAAATCATTTAAAAATTTAATTTATGCACAATTTTTCAGGAACTCATTCATTGTACAAAATGATGCACAACTCTGCATGTGTCAGACCATGCCATAAACAAAAGGCTCATAAAAATGTCCTATAATTAACAGCGACTATAAGAATACAAACATTGGTTATAAACCATAGAAAGCCACTAGAAAAAAATTGTGTTATTTTACTTTCTATGATTATATGGAAATGCTTTACACTGGTATTTTCCAGCTTAAAAAGAACTTTAATATGCTCATTATGCCCTTCCGTAATTACGGATTTATTGGAAAACTTTTCCTTATAAATGTTACAAAAATATACTTCAGCTCACCACGAAGAATCATAGAATATTTGAATTAGTAAAATGGAATTTGCTGATCCATACATAACAAATACTGCACATTACCCACAGAATCCCAGTGTCAGAATTGTTGCAGGGTGCGGGGGAAGCCGGGAGTGTTGGTGAGGCAGGGATACGGAAATCCAAGACCTGAACAGAGTGCGGAGCTCCACAGTCCTAACTTCCTGAGTGGAACGGTGGTTTGGGCGTCAGATGAGGGCTCTCAGTGGTCACAGGTGTCTTGGCATGGGCTGCCGAGTTCTCAGAAGAGATTTTGAAGTCATGGTATTCTTCCTTTGAACCAACTCCCTCCTCCAAGTTCAAGTGTGATCATTTAGTCTTAGTTCTAGACTTCCTAAATAACTGATGTTTGTAAGTTTGTTGCTTTTTTTGCCCCAAAATTTACCTTAGGTCTGGTAACATGAAACTTCTTCACCATTTGAATGTAGTGCTTCTTCCATATGCCCTGCTCAAAGGGAGTTGGAGAGAAATTGATGTACCAGTTAAACCGCAAACATTTGAGCATCCAGAGCTGATCCAGCTCAGTTAAGTTCTTCCAGTGCCAGCTCACCTGGAAAAACGACAATTGAAGGAAAAACAGGACCTACTCAATTTACATGTTCACTTTCTCTAGGTTTTAAACTGTCACCTTGGACCCTAGATAACATTTTTTATCCTTTCCTCCAATTCACAGCTTAAATAGTTACCTCCTACCTCAAGTGCTTCCTACCCAAGCAGAACTATTTTCTTTAAATTCTAATTCAGACTTAGAATCTGAGTCAACATATACTTATCGAGCACCTATTAACTATCTTCATAGCAACCTATGGAAGTAAATAAAATTATTACTCTCATATTGCAAATGAAGAAACTGTTAGGCTCAGTTAGACTTTGGAATTTCATCAAGGTTCATGTGAAAGTTATATGAGAGTTATAGAAACTCAGGTCTGTACCTGGTATACATCTGTTTTCCCTTCATTCTTACGATTTAACTAAATATAAATTTTATAAACAAAACACAAATACCGATACTATATGGTGTGTCCCACATGAGACTAGACATCTGTGTCTTAGCTGTAAGAACTGCAAAAATGACTACTAACATTCAAATCCAAATTTCATCCTTGGAAAACTATCCTCTTTTTTAAGAATAACTAATTAATAATTTTGAACACCAAATAAATAAACAAACAGAACACTCTATAATGGGTCTTGCTATCCATACATCTACTTATCTATCACCTCTGCTTCCTCCCTCCTTCCATTCACCACTTACTGAGTTCCCACTATATTTAGCACTGTTTTATGGGCTGAACATGAGTCAGGCAGGAGAGAGGAGGCACAATTAGAAAAAATAAGAGTTCAGGGCTGGAAGAAGGAAAAAGGTTAGAGGATCTGATAGAGCCCCTCAGGCAGAAACAGAAATCATATCTACTTTGTCGAACCCAGAATGAAACACCAACCTTAATCCCTATATGGTTAATTAACTCAGAATTCAATGGAGAGATGAGGTTTTGGAGGGAGGGGATAGGGAGAAAAATTTCAGAATTGTCATTGTTTTCCTCCTTTTCCTTAGATCTTATTTAGACTTGGATATTTAAGCTAGGCTTTCCCCCCAGGGTAGATAAGGTATTTGTTTGTTTTTTAAGGTAGAGAAATGAGAATTGAAGGGTAGATAGGAGCTTTCAAAACTATAAAAGACCACCCCCGCCTCATATACCTTTTTAAACAGCTCAAAGCTCATTTTAGTGCAATGAATTTATTGTTTCTTTTAAACCTAGATGAAGAATAATTATCTGTGTCTTCCTCACAGTCAGTACTGGGAATAAATATAATGCTGAAATCTTGCTAGATCGACATATGGTGCCCATAGATTATAAGAATAGCTATTTCAAATAATGTTTCCTTAGAATGATAACATTCTCATGTAGAAAACTTGGCAACTTCTGAGAAGTTTAAAGAAAAACAACGTACAAAACTCCATCAATTAAAGATGGACATTATTAACAACCTGGCTCTTTTCCTTTCAGTCTTTTTTTTTTTTTTTTAGGCATGTAAGAAACAAAATTGGGAAACTCTATATACAATTTAAAATTATGCTTTCTTCATTTTACATATCATAAATATCTCTGGTCTTCCAAATCATGTTTTCTAATAGCTGCATAATAATTTGTCATATGGCTATATAATACTGTCATATTGCTGGACATTTAGAATGATATACTCTTTTTAAAAACTGTTTCATTTTTAGAATAAGTAATAAGTGTACATTAATACTAAATTCAAAGGTACAAAGAGGCACACAGTAAAAAGTTTCTCTCTCATCCCTGTTTTCTAGCCCCTCATTTTCCTCCCTGGATGTAACCACTCTGACCAGCTTCTTGTGGGTCATTTCAGAAGTATTCTAGGTCTATACTAACAAACATGTATGTATTCTTTTATCTTTCCAAAATGGTAGGACAATTCTGCACCTTTGCATTTTTCACTGATGATATATTTTGGAGATTGTTGCAATTTATTTAACTAGTCTCCTAATGGTGGACATTTCCATTATTTCTAAACTTTTGCTATTGCAAACAATGCTGCAATATTCTTACACAGATGTAATTTTGCATAGGTTGGTATACCCATCAGATAAATTCCAAGTGAAACTGCTGGGTCAAAGGGAATCATTATTAAAAATTGTAATTGATCCCAAATTGTTCTCCATGGTGGTTGTACCAATTTATCTATCAACAATATACGAAAGTGCTTTTGTTTCTTCACACCCTCACCAATATAGAATATTATTTTAAAAACTTATCAATCTGTATCATGAAAAATAGCATGACATAGTGAGACTAAGCAGCTTACATATTTTAGAAACACCTGCATTTCTTTCTGTGAACTACTTGTTCATTCATTCCCTTTGCTCATTTTTCTGCTGGGTTGTTGGTCTATTTTTCTTTCTTTTTTAAAATATAATTTTATTTAAAAAATAT